GCTCTCCATCTAGTTGCCAGATTTCCCCCGACCACATTAGCATGCCCATCGGTACTGTCACTTTTCAGACCTCCTTTAGACAATCATACGGTTGAGATTTCATGGCTACAGCTTCTCTATATCTCAAGGCAGACATCCTGGTCGCCCGAATCTTATCTTTCCACCCCTCTTCCATGATGTTTCTTGAGCTGTAAGTAGAATTGTGCTGTAGATATATCTATTGAGCCTGGGCTCCCCCAGCTAGCTGATCTCTGCATTTTTACCAGTTTGAGGTTTCTGCAGTGATCTTCACCTGTTGCAAAACGTAACTTCTTTGATAAGGGGAGAGAGCTAAACGTATTGGTGGGCATAAGGATTAGTGTTTAGAATGCACTTAGAAATTATAGTGGTTTAGGAACATGGCGGTCATTATAATGGCACTTATATTCTGAAGGTAAGCAACAGCTGTCTAATTGGATTTAAGGCCGTGTCCATAGGGAATGAATGACTAATACTGTAAACTTAGCCATTATTCTTGGCTGCTGACCCCATGGACTTAGCAGAGATCCTATTACCATCATTGTTGTGGTTCATAGACATTGCAGCTAGATAGGACTATTAATTGCTTTTCTCCTTTGGCATCTTGCATAACAGAATAATTTTCATTTGTTAGATGCAACTATCATTTGGATACATTATTTTTCAGTATTTTCTACTCCAATGTCAAGAGACAGTTGAGGGAGTTCACTGAAATGGAATTATTGCAGAGGGAGACCTTGTTGTTTTTATGTGATTTTCATGCACCAGGTTTTCTTTCCTTTTTCTTTTTTAAAAAGTTTTTCGAGATAGGGTTTCTCTGTGTAGCCCTGGCTGTCATGAAACTCACTCTGTAGACCAGGCTGGTCTTAAACTCACAGATATCCACCTGCTTCTGCCTCCCAAGTGCTGGAATTAAAGGCAGGAGTCACCACCACCCGGTGCACCGGGTAGTGGATTTCAGAGTTGTCAACAAGACTGAGGAGTGGTGCCAAGTGTTCCCTCTTCCCAGTTTGTTTAGGCAACAGCAGTTCTAACAGTAACAAATGGATAATCCAATACTGAGATGTCTCTTCAGTCACATGCTTCTGCAGAACTGAGGCTGACCATAACAACACAAAAAGGACTTTGACAATAAACTTTGCTTCTGTCCACAGGCAAGCAGGTCAAGACTGAAATGCCTTTTTTTTTTTGCTCGTTTTCTCTCTATAATGGAAGGCTAGAAATAAGTATCACTATGAAGCTTTGCTTTTAGTGTTAAGTCACATTACACCTTTGCATTAACCAATAACTAGTTAGATGAGCCTTAAGTCCTAAGGTGGTTCCATGTGTACTTATATTTAGTTTCAATTCTCATATACATGTAAGCTTCTCAAACAGAAATTTCCTTTACTGATAGCCTCAGAATTATCTCCAAAATCTCCAAAGTAGGAATTCAGAAGAACAATAACCAACGAACAAAACAGTCACCTATTTATGCACTTGAAAACACATACACAATGATAGAGGAGGGGGCAAAAGCCCAAAATACAGCAGTTTCATAAAAAGTGTTTTATTATATTTTTTCTTTTAAAAGGGAAATGGTCATATCCAAGCCATCTAGATAGCTATCTTCTGAATGATACCATAAGAAAGTAACACCAGAATATAAGTGGATTCCTAAAAAATAATTGCTAAAAACTAATGGCTGCATCACTAACTTTATTAATTTTTGTTAGTATATATTAATTATATAAATAATGGGTTTCATTATGGCATACTGTATGTAAAAACATGTTGTAAATTATATAAATTTGAGCCAAAGTGATCAATTTTCTCACTGATAATTAGATGTCGTAACTTTGGTATTATTTCTTTCATCACAAAGCTATCTTTGGCAAAATCACATTTTGACAATATAAAACAGATCGATAGTAACACTAAAAGAATGCCGATCCTTAGCTACACACAGTTTAGAGGGAATGGATCTAGGTGCTATATAGACCTGTTCATTACACCAGGGGTTATGGGTCCCTATTAGGGATACAGCAAGAACATAAACAATCTGACATTAACACTCATGCAAGAAATTAAAAACAAACAAAGAAAACATTCCTGTGACAAGCTAACTAGGAGGATCTGATGACACAGCAAACAGCATACTACTAGATCCATCTTAGCATTCTAGTTAAGAAATGCATTAAAGTCCACAGAAAAAAAATCAAGGAAAAATATTATATATTTCCATAAACTGCAGTTTGTGCTCAGAGGCAATAATTATTAAAGTAGGAAATAGAGGCCAATGCTCAAACTGCCAAAGTTGCCTTTCCTAAGAGAAGAGATTGGATTCTGAACCACTGGTTGGCATGTAGGAGGAGATCAAGTGCTGGTAAGAATCTCAGAAATAGACAAGTCAATCAGAAACTTTTTATAGGTTAAAAATATGAAACGTGTCACATGGCCAAGTACAAGAATGGTGCAAAGTAGGGAAGAAGTTTTAGTTTGGGACCAATGACTTCGTTATTTTCTTAGCATGAAAGCCTTCACTGGACATAGCCACTGAGAGCCCAGTGTACCACATCATCTGCATTGCAGACCTCCAGTGTCATTGTTGGCTCAGTTTTGCTCACACTAGTGAGAATTAATTAGAGATAAAATTGTTATACCAAGCATAAATTTATGTACATGCATGTGACTTTATAAAATTCACAGATATTTCCCATTTCCTCCAGCAGAGGTCAGACAGCAGCAGTCCTGGACTATGAAAATTGAGGAAGCCATAGAATATTTGAGAGTGATTTTATTTTCAAGAAAAGATAATGGAGGATTTCTTTGTAAAGTGTTTTCCTCTACTCATATTGTCTAACTATTTCTTACAGCAGGCATGCCTTACTTGTGCAATAACAAAAAACATCAACAATCACTTTAAATTTTATAAACAGTACATTGGCATATATATTCACCCTGTATTAAGTCACGGACACTGCTTCATTATTTATGTGTTCTTAACTGAGCACAGGTTAATAGAATAGTGTAAAAAGGACGCACATTCGGCATCCACTGTAAAATAAAATGATTTAAGGGCAACATCATGTCCACTGTTGATAACTGGAAGCATTCTTTCTTAAACAAGAAAGAATCTTACAGCTGTAAGATTGGCAGCATGACACAAAGCCTCCTAGACACAGCGCAGAGGCAGGAGCACCTGGAAAGTGCAAAGACAACAGCCAGTGTGCACTGCAATCCTCTCCTTTGTCTGCAGAAACCTACTAGATCTTGATGCTGCAGTCACTCAGTTTCTGCAAGTCATGTAGGCAGAATAAGGAAGACATTTTTTTTTTAATGGTCAATTTGACAACACATTTAAAAATCAAAGAAGCTAACACAGAAAGTTTACTGAGGACAGCCTTGGTAAGCAAGTCACACTATCACCATGCCGCCTTTCCGTGACTCTTTCATATTGATAAAAAAGAAAAGGCTTAGAAAACAAGGTCTTTTGAAGGATAATCATTTTATACTCCATTATGCCAAATCAAATAGCTGCTTCATATCTATATTACTAAATGATTTATAATGTCTGGTTTGCTACTTGTGCTTCTTAATCATATCACACAAATGTAAGGCCATTAAATTGTTATACAAATCAAAACTATTAGTAGTTTTTTTATTTTGTTGTTTTGATTTAACTTTGGATGGTCATGGGAACCAAAGCTAGGGCCTGCTCATACAAGCTTAGCTAGTGTTCTTGCACCTAGAGCTTCATAAATGCTTAGCATGTTCCCACAAACCTAGACTCTCATACATGTTAAGCATATGCTTACAAACATACTATCATGCATGCTTAGCATATGATCTACTTCAAGCTACTCTCTTAGCTCCTCTTTCTTCCATTTTTTCTGAGGGAGTAATGTTTTCCTGTGGCAATAAGTTTCTATGGCTTCCTTCCACCTCTGGGAGCAACTGAAGAAAAGAGAAATGAAATAAAAAAAACTCTATCAGAGCAGTTGGAGTGGCTCACAATTTTAATCTCAACACTCTAGAGGAAGAAACAGACAGGCTTTGAGACTAGGTCAAGGCTTGGCTACATAATTAGACCATCTTAAATAAAGAGACTATAAATAAAACCTTCTAGTAGTTCTTCTGTGGTGGGACTCCACAGTGATGCCTAGAATAGATGGCTCTTTGCTTAGCCTAAATTATCAATGGCTTCTGGAGTAAAGTGAGGATTATGGAAAAATGGGGGAATAGGGAGGTGTGAGACAGAAGGAGTCCTTAAGGGAGAACCAGAATCCACAAAAAGGTGTGGTCAGTGAGAAATCCTCAGAGACTCTTTTGTCTGCCAGAGTTTCTGTTTTTCAAAAGTGGTCCATTCCTCAAACCCTTGGCAATGTGTGCTACACAGATTCTCTGATGAACTCAAGGAAATTAATAGATGAGGTAAATGTTAACCCTGACTAGCACAGGGAAAAAGAAGAGACCTGTAGGCCATGAGAGGTGAATAAGTATAGCTTTGGAGGAGGAGACAATGAGTCACAAATGATCCTAGTACAGAAAGAGAGACACAACATATTCAAGTAAATCTTGGGAGGGGAGTCAATGGAGAGTCCATGACATGGGTGTGCTTTGATTATCAAGCCACTTTTACATCAATTTCTAGAGAAGAATAACTTTAACTGACATGTAGGATACAATGCCAAACATATCAAAATATCTGAGAAGTTTGTAATAGAAACAGTGTTTGTAATAGAAAGTCTAGGGAAACATTTGAAAACTATAAATAGATTTTTACATAACATGCAAGTGCCACAGGTATTTAAATAGAGATACTTAATAAGCGAATCATAAATATTTTTCTACTGAATTTGTAATATAGTTTACTAAATGGAAGTACGATTTTGTCAACAGCTTTCCTAACTAGATTTAGAATTGCCACCCAATTTATCTTTGATCATAATGAATGTATTCTGAGAGGGGCTGAAAACCTTCCGTGCCTGTTTTAGGCTTACCTTCACATGGTGGATCAGACGTTCAACTTCATTCACTTTATAGGTCTCCAATCCAAGCTCCTTGGCCAACCGTAGGATACGATTCTGTGTTGGTCCAACATAAGATCCTCCAAGGTCCACATATTTAACATTTTTATTCTGTTGTTTCATGGGGAAAAAAAACAAAGATGACTGTTTGAAACAACATTTCTAAAATAAACATTTCTGAAACAAGCAATTAACATCAAAGAGGTTATAGATCCGTTTGAGCTGCATCTGTGGAAAACTGAGTTCTGTTCTCAACTCTTCTTTTCCTGAATTACATGACTTAATTATTAAATCAATCTTTAATTTAAAAGAAAATTGACCACTGAAAAGGCAAGGCACATCAGAACCCATCACTCACAATACAGCCCAATATCTCTGACTACACCTCAGTCAAACTGGAAACTTATGAGTCAGTGACATGAGTAGTGGCATGACTTGTCTGTATTGATTTCATCATTTGCTGTCTAGTCCCTGCTCCCCCAAAGGAGTCGTTTGTCACAATAAAAAGAATATTATTCTCTATGGACAAATAAAACATACTATAGATACACACAACGGAACACTATCCACATTTTACAAAGAGGAAAATTCTGTCATTTAGCACAACAAACATGCATCTGCTGAACATTATGCTAAGTGAAATAAATCAGAGAAAGGGAAGTGTCACATAATCTTACTTATATGTGGAATCCAAAAAGAGTTAAACTCCTAAAAGTAAAGAATACTATGGTGTGTACTAGAGGTTTCAAGGGTGTGAATGTTAGGGAGAGAGGGAATGAGGAGTGACTGGCCAAAGCATACAAGCTTCAGCAAGATAAGAGGAATAAGTTTTGAGCTGTGATGTATATATTCAAAAAACCTAAGAGTAGATTTCAAGTATGTTGTCACAAAAAATGTCGAGTGTGTGAGATAACGGTTAATAAGCTTGATTTAATCACCCACATTGTATATGTATCATGTTGTACTCCATAAATGTAGCATAATTATGATTTGATGTTTAAAAACAAAATAAATGAAAATAGATAAATGAATAAGTAACTGAAATGAGACTCCCCATGCATCCCTGAATTTAGTTTGTATAAACAGAGAGAAGGAAGAAAGAGTTGAAAGAGAAGTAAATTCAGAGAAGTTTGGGCAACTCATGTGCTTAGCATGTGCAAGTTCCTGGATGGAAGATTCTTAGCACTCATGATGATGATGATGGTAAAGAAAAAGAGAGGCATAAGGAAAATTTTGGAGTCATGTTATCCCCTCTTATAAAGTCAGTAACAAAGACTTTCAGGGAATACAAAAGTCTAAAAACACAATTCAGGGGTGGGCAGTGGTGGTACAAACCTTTAATTCCAGCACTTGGGAGGCAAGGGAAGGCAGATCTCAGTGAATTAGAGGCTAGCCTAGTCTACAAAGCGAGTTTCAGGACAGCCTGGACTATTACACAGAGAAACCCTGTCTCAGAAACCAAAAAGAAGGAAAGAAAAAGAAAAACCACAACTCATGCTTCAGACCATGTTTCTCATTCCGATTCTTAGTGTCTTACCCTAATTGTGTAAGTCCTGCCTCCCACACGATCCCGTGCTTCCAGAACCACCACACTGAGGCCAGAGTCATGCAGAAGTTTGGCTGCTGCCATACCTGGAGAAATGTATAAGAAAACATTATGAAGAAATCTGCTACAGGAATGCAGACACATGCCACATGCTACTGGCCAACAAGAACAGTCACAATCACACAAGCTCTACTATACAACTTAAGGCATAGATGGAATTCTCTGTAGTGGCCTCCAGTCTCCATCTATGAAACCACATGATACTTTTAGAAAGAATAAAATATGCTTCATTAGCAGTGACTATCTGAATAAACATTCCATGACACTATGCCAATAATATCCCTATTTTAACAACTAAATTATAAGTCAGACAACCTAATGCAGGAGCACAATCAAGAACATTCATATGCTGGAACCAAAAAGGTCCAATGCTAGCCACATACTCCATTTTCAGTTTGAGTCTGAGAAGCAACAATGTGGGAGAGAACAAGCCTTCAGCAGTCATGAGTGGACCTAGGCTTTACTGGGAAATTGGACTTTTGAAAGTTCACAAAATATTTCAAAGCTAAGGTCATAAAAACTGACCCTATATACATCTTAATTTCAGATATGCCTGATCACTGCTCAGATACACCAGCTCAGATATGGTTGATCAGGCCTGATCAAGGATGAAATGGCTCCATCCATGTACTTTAATTGTTCATTTAGTCAAAATTATTTCTTGAGTGCCCGTGTATAGTCGTTTGTCTAATGCATCCCAGACACAGCTTGGAAATCCCTGCACTCATTTTTGTGTGTGAGGTGACTTTTGAAAGGAACATTTTTCTCTCATATTGAAAATAGATTTTTTTCTCACATAATATATCCTGATATGTTTTCATCTCACTCTACTCCTCCCAGCTCCTCTCCAGTCACCCTCCTGCCTGAATCCACCCCTATTCTGTCTCTCAGTAGAAAACAAACAAGGTCCCATGTCTTTAAAACCACTCGGGCTATAGCTGTGATTCAAAAGTAGGTCATTTGCTTAGCATCTGGGAAACCCAAGGTTTCTCTCCATAGCACTGCCAAATATAAAAATATGAAATACAAGCACTCCCAGAATACAGCAAGAGCTGACCCCAAGAACAGATGCTCTTACAGTAAAATGAATTTACTTCTTGCTTCACAAAACCAAACAAAATCAAAGAAATGCCAAAATGCTACTGTACCTCACAGATACATGAAACAGTTCCTCTTTCATAAACAATGACTACATGATGTTAGGCCCCACTACCACAGCACACCTAATGCTCCCTACCAGTAAACTATGGTCTTGTTTCCTTGTATCAATTCATGCTGGGAGTGTAGTTTAGTATTGATGTACTTTTCTAGCTCATGTGAAACACTAGGTTCCATCTCCAGTTGCATTAAAAAGAAAAAAGGGAGACTTATAGTACATTGTTTTAATAAATGCATTCCAACAGGCTAGTGGGCTAAAGTTCTTTGATAGCCTCTTTGTTGTTGTTGTTGTTTTTGTATTTTTTTTTTTCGAGACAGGGTTTCTCTGTGTAACAGTACTTGCTGTCCTGGAACTAGCTCTTGTAGACCAGGCTGGCCTTGAACTCACTGAGATCTGCCTGCCTCTGCCTCCCGAGTGCTGGGACTAAAGGTGTACACCACCACCCGGCTTGTTAGCCTCTTTTTCTGCCTGGGCCTACATTGAAAGTAAGTGAAAAAGCAGTTCCTTTCCAGCATCTGTGTCTGACTCAAGGTCAGTCTCATCTCTGGTGACGTCTCTCAATGTGCACTACAGTGAGAATCCCCACTTCTAAGAATCTTTTTCACTTTATCAAGACCAATGTGTTTTGAAGACACACTTGACTGTTGTGGGCTGGTAAGAATCCATTGGACATAATCTGAGTCTGAGTGCAGAAGCATAATGAGCCAAAGGGTGATTTTCACAAAGGAAACCCATTTTCCAGAGGGATTGGATCAACATTTCATTGTTTGATGTAATGTCTCTTTCCATCCCTTTCCCCAGAGGCAGGCTCATGCTTCCGGTGGGTGGCAGAGCAAGCTCCCAGAGTCCACACTGTGAGCAGTCACACTTGTAGCACAGAAGCATCTCAGGACTCAGTTTTAGGAATGCAGGGCTTGAAGTTTTAACTCCAGTTTCTCAATTTCACCCCCATAACAGGAAATAACTATAACCATTTTTTTACTAAAATTCAAAATTGCAGACAATCTGAGGACCTTTTTCTTATCAATCATCACTCCAAGATATCAAACACACAGCCATAACAGCAGCAGTTACCAGCAAGTTCATGTAGAGCTCAGCAGCATGTTCTTTAAACAAAAGAACCAGGAAGGAAATACAGCCCAACTCCCAGACACTCGCATATGCGAATCCACAAAGGGTACCCCTGTCTTTTAATGAATACAGCTGCTCAATAGTATCTGACGAGAAGCATACAGTTATTAAAACAAACCATGAAATCGAGCTCGCTCTACCTTTTTTACATTATAATTATGCACAAAAATGACAAAAACATTATTAAGCAATATGTAAGTATGTTTTTTTGAAATCCCCTTTTTTAAATTTATGTTCAGGATGCTTGAGGGAACATTTGAAACATCTGTTAGGCATCAGCTGACAAAAAGGGAAAATTAAAAATGCAAAAATTGATTTAACTGGAACAAATGAGGATGGCTTAGGGCATCATTGAATTTAGCAGTCAGAGTCCAGTCAGGATGTGATTAAGATGGTGAAGAAGAGGTACCTGTCAAGGGATGCCACAGTGATGACAGATAAAGAGACAGGGAATTGACTACTTAAACAATAGGCAAATGCTACCTCTCCCGAGCATCCTGGCTCAAAATGTATTATTCTCCTGGGTTTCATTGTGTTTTGGATTTGGAAGCTTTAAAACATTTGTCACTGAAAGGATGCCGGAAATGTCTATGTTCAATAATTCCTGTTTTAAAACCTTCGTAAATTATGAGCAATTTTGACCCCCCAAAACACTAGACAAGATAGTTGTCCCTGACTAAACATGAAGCAGTTTCTGAATATAATATAATAATACTTTTAAGGGATTCATACTATCAGTTACCACCTAAAATATGGAGCACTTACTTTTGTGTTCAATGCTTTCTACAAAGCCTACTTTGTCTTCAACACAAGGGGGAGAACTATTTTTATTCTCAATTTCAACAACCAGATAGGTTACATAAATAGTAAATGGTAGAACCAGAGTTGAACTCAAACCTCACCTCTTAGCCACCATTCTTGGTCCAAAAAAAAAGGAAGATTAAAAATATAATAACATGATATAGCAATCCTTAGAAATATAATAACATGATATAGCAATCCTTAGAAATTATCTGAAAGCATTCTGCTCTCTGTCTAAATATTAGGAACCAGCACACAATCAGTTTTCCTTTTGAACAGATGTTTGGCTTCTGAAACGGATTCCAAAGCAAGCTTATCATCACTGTGCACTCCTGCAGGGTTAATGAAATTTGACTTTAATGTGCAGAGTCAATTAATATTTCACAAAATAGTTATTTGGTTCTTTCAGAAATAGTTCATATAGGCCCTTAAGACACAAATAATAGAAATACACATATAATGCTATGAAATTGCAGAAAGATTGCATTTTGCCAGGCCTGGTGGCAAGCCTGCATTCTCAGTGATCTGAATACTGAGGCAGACAGTTCACAAGTTCAAGTCCAGCCTCAAAGTGAGACCATGTCTGAAATTATTTTAAAGACCTACAAATCAGTGTCATGCAGCATCATTAGCATTTGTGTTTCCAGTTTGGAACTGTAAAAAATGGCTTGAGTTAGACTCTGGGAAAGACTGCAAAAGTGTGAGACTCATGAAATCAGAGTCCACATCTACCTCGCTCTCTGTTTTGCCAATGTGTTTCATGTCCTTCAGATTAATCTGTGCTAGTTAACAAGCTTTTACACTTTAAAATAGGAAACTAATTGTCTTGGAAGGAATATAAAACATCTGCACTTTATTACTACATAAAGGCTTTTGCAGTCTAAAGTTACACACACACACACACACACACACACACAGAGAGAGAGAGAGAGAGAGAGAGAGAGAGAGAGAGAGAGAGAGAGAGAGAAACAATCTTGGTAACAAAAATTGACAATAAAATTCACAGTACTTCTAAGTTCCTATAACCTTGTAACCCTGACAAATGACATAGGCATTCTTTTAGGACTTATAAAAACAATATTATGTAAATAGCCCTCATCACCTCTGTCACTTCTGACAAAGCAATGTGGTTTGTCTGAGGCAGTTCAAAGCAGTGTTTTTCTGCGTAGCCTTGGCTGTCCTAGAATTGGCTCGGAAGACCAGGCTGGCCTCGAACTCTGCCTCCTGAGAGTTGGGATTAAAGGCATGTGCCACCACCCCCTGGGCAAAGCAATGGTTTTATGAGGAAATTCTAGAAACAACCAAGCAAATTTCTGATCAAAGAACTCCAGTTCTTTGATCTCTTCAAAGAATATGTTTCTTTAGTTATTTAACACAAATATACCCAAAAAAGGCCTGGAGTAAGAAGAAAAACATCCTCTGTTAGAAGTCCAGTTTCTTCGGGGAAAGAGGCATGAGTAGGAAGAAGGGAGATGATAAAAAGCTACTATGGTGCTCGCTTCAGCAGCACATATACTAAAATTGGAACGATACAGAGAAGATTAGCATGGCCCCTGCACAAGGATGACATGCAAATTCTTGAAGCGTTCCATATTTTTTTAAATAAATAAATAAAAAGCCACTATGTAGGTGAGGCCACGGCTAAAAGAGCTAACAGTGCTGAGAGCCAGCTTTGCTACTCCAGGGAGGTAGGCAAATGGAAAGTGAAGCACACAGAGACCCAGGAGTGTTCAGTTAGCAAGTGGCACAGACAGTGTTCCAATCTCAGCACGCTGACTCTAAATGCGGATTCCATATGACATACTGAAACATGAAGGGGCTATTTAACAGTGAATCACAGTGAACCGCCCCTTGGATATCTCCCATCATCTGAGTGCCACTTATTCTTTGCCTTTGTGCAAATAACTGGAAAGCAAAGTATATGTTTCTGGCAGG